CCCGTATCCCTCCGTCCTGGCATTGTTGGGATGCGAGGTCAATGATCTTAACATCCACAGCATGCGGTGGCATGAGTGCACTCCTCACTCTTTCTTCATCCTCTCACCTGGTCCGCGATCCACTTGTTGTACTCCAGCTGCTCGTCAGCAGTGATGTTCCACCCGGTTTCGTCCGCCGAGAAGGTGTACGACTGGGTTGTATCCGCAACAGGAACAGCGCGGGAAAAAGAGAAAGAAGCTCAGGGTAAACTTGGACCAAGCGGTCCGCGGAGGCACAAAATTTACTGCTGGCGTCCCTTCTCGTCGCTGATCAAGAGCACACACCCGATGTATGTCCCGATACTGACACCCCCCCGGGGGGGGAGTGTACTCATGCGGGGGTACTCATAGTCGTGCATGCCGTAGTCGTTAGACCATTGACCTCGCATCCCTACAAAGCCGGGACGGAGTACGCCGGGTTCTTACCGGACCAGGATCTCACATTACCAAGCGCGAAGCGCCGTGAGGTATTCAGTGAGTCGTATGAAGGGGGGGGGGGTTGAGATAATACATCTGCGGTGCCGCCGTGCTTGGGTGGGCGAGCGAACTCAAGCAGAGTGGGGTCAAAAGGGACAGGGGCGTAAGGACAACGAAATAACCACCGGTGTGGGAGGGCCCTTCGTATGGGAGGTTGCCACCTCATTAGGGCGATTGCAATAATCACAATCGTCGCGCGATAAGGTCTTAGAACGCTTCCCTCTACCGCACACGACATAAGACAACACACCCTCTGGAACAACTTTCAACGCTCGATTACGCCACGACGAAGAACGTGCCCAAACGAAACGATGAAATTTCGGAAAGCTCTCTACAAGGCGGCTTGAACGACGCCATTTTCGGCGCCGTGATTCTCTCTGCTGTCGGGAAATCGAACTTTGAAATTCGGTCCAGGGGTGTGTGTTATCTTGTGTCATATACGGTACTGCGCTACAAAGGTGACGGACTTACAACACCAAGAGCACAATAGACATAAGAACCCCCCCCACACCAATCGCTGTCGCGCTCTGGGTGCTCTGGGTGCGTGAGTGTTCACATCTCCGTGGTGCAATTGGTGTGGGAACGTTCTTACCTCTGTCGCGCCATGATTGGTGTGGGCGTGCTCCCATCTCTGCAATGCTCTGGATGTGTGAGCTTGTCACGCCCGTAGCGCGATTGGGTTGCGAGTTTCTCATCCCTGTAGTGCGATCGGTGTGCGAGATTCTCATCTTCGTAGTGCGATTGGTGTGTGAGTATTCTCACCTCCATGAAGTCCGGATCCACCGCGTCACACCCCTTCTCGGAAGCCAGGTCTAGCCGGCCCTCCATGACGGGCTTGATGTCCTGCCGTTCGTTGTGTACATACAGTGACAGAAATACTATTTTACTCCATCGAGATAAACCTGAAGAGAAAGGGGACGAGCTGTTGTCGATGTTGTTGTTGTTGTTATTATTGTTGTTGGTGTTGGTGTTGGTGTTGTTGTTATTATTGTTGTTGGTGTTGGTGTTGTTGCTGTCGATGTTGTTGTTGTTGTTGTTGTTGGTGGTGTTGGTGTTGTTGTTGTCGATGTTGTTGTTGTTGTTGTTGTTGTTATTATTGTTGTTATTATTGTTGTTATTATTGTTGTTATTATTGTTGTTATTATTGCTGTTATTATTGTTGTTGGTGTTGGTGTTGGGAAAAAAATAAAGGTACAAAAACAGAAGATACTCTCCAGTTCGAGATAACACGATAGTCGAAGGCAATGTGTTGTCCATGTTGTTGTTGAAGGCTACTTACTGACCGAGCGAACAGTAGTCTCGCCGCCTCACCACGACGTTGATGTTGACACGCGAAACGATATCCAATCAACCACCAACCAAAGTCCCTCCACCGCACCTCGTCGTTGATGCCAACAACCCACCACATTCCAGCACACCACACAGACAGTCCTTAAGAGAGAAATCGCCCGTATCTCGAAGAAAAGCAACACCCAACAAAAATTCATCACAAAAACTTCCATTTCGAACGCTGGTAGTTGGGGAGCGACACTGAATCCAACCAGCCAACCATCCGCCAAATAGAACAAACAACACTCCAATAGTACTCCCTCCGCCGCACCTCGTCATTGATGTTGATCCACCAAGTGCCGACGGAATGCTCAACACGGTTACCCAGCGCGGACCGCGGGAAGTCGGCCTCGTCGTCTCTATATTCCTCATAGGTGCCGGCGGAGAAGTAGCAGATCACCACGATGCCGCTGTGTAAGAGGGACAGCATGTCGGCGGACTCCACGTCTGTGGTGGGAAGTCGTATGTACGCCGCATTCGCAAGGGCGAGAGAATCGTTTAAGGTAGATAGCGAAACGGAATAACGGCGATGCGAGAGCACGGCAGGGCACGAAAGGTCTGTGTCGGTTGAAGGGGACAGAGTCGTGACGGTTTGGCAACCTCCGCCGTGAAGTGCATTTCTTAGCGCACAAAGGGAAAACGCACCACACACGCGATCGAAACGAGCAAACGGAGGCACATCAGCGCCGAAATAAGGGTGCAAACATGCATTGCCACCTTAATTTTTTTGGTGCGACGCAGATGAGAACTAACTCTTCTTGGCAGGGGGGGGTAGCGGGACGGACGCAGGAACGCGAGCAGGATTTAAAAAAAAGAAAAAATGGACCGAGATTGTCTATTCAGGAAGAACCGGCAGAGACAAGGCATTGTCGTATCATAAAACGTTGATGCAGCGGTGGGCGGCGTCGACAGAACCTCAAAAAAGCAAACTTCAGCCGCAAAAAGAAAAGAACGGGGTACTCTTGGAACAGGTGGGATACTTGCCGAACAGATCGAGGTCGAACACTTCCACTCCCGCGCTAGCCCTCGGAGTCGTACCAGAGAGTCTCCACTGGGACAATAGACGAAAGACGTGCGAGCGGGCGGAGGGGAGGGCGTAGTCATGTATCGCATGCCTCAGCTGCAATCCCATTGACTACGAGTCATCAACAGGGGATAAACACAAAACGAAAATGACGAGAGTGTGGAAGGGAGCGAAGAAGGTCCGTCGCTCCTTGTTTGGTGTCACTCAATTGGTTGTTGTAGTGCGTTTTTGTTCTCTCTCACGCGCCCACGGGCGGGCAGCTACGCCTTCCAGAGAAGCCAATTCCGACGGAACGAAGAGAGAAGCCAATTCGACGGAACGAAGAGAGGGTGTTTGCTCCATGCGATGCAATAATGATTGTGCTCCAACGTTTTGCTTTTGGGGGGCAGGGACGCGTCGATGAACGGACACGATCTTAAGAAACGATAGCACGCTGGGTGCCGCCAACTCTTCGATGTTCACACCCGGCGTTCTCGCTGAAAGATGCGATTTGACGCTTTCGTTGATGCCACGTTCACACCACCGAACGCCAAGCGTCTTACTTGAGGGGCAGGCCGTTGTTGATTGGAAGCTTGCTGTCATCTTTCATGACCGCGCGAAAAGGGAGGGCCCGACCGAGAAGAGGTCTCATCCTTTTCTTTTCCAGTGACGACCAAGAAAAGACAACTATTCTCTTCGTCTGCAATTTCAGGTATGACGTTAACGTTGCCAATTTGCCTCTGTCGGGTCTTGCCCTAGAGGGTGGAGCTCTTGGATCCCGGTTGCAAAAATGCTTGTACATATATTCTAGGTGGTCGAAGTACTCTTCAAGATCGTGAGATAAGGGTTGCTTGGCGAATCTACCCGAAACCACACACACCTCCCTTGCAGATGCCCCCCCAGCGGACGATACCCGCCGGTTTTTCCCATCGGGGTTGGGTGTTCGTCACTTGGCAGCGATGTTGTAATACAAACCGATCCCTTCGTGATCTCGGCAACCAGGTTATCACTTTTTTTCCTTGTGCCTTTGAATTGTATTTTGCGGTAACCATTAATGGTGGTCGAGTAGATCATGTTATGCGGGGTCCAGAACGCTCACTCCGCACAAAGGGGATGGTTGCATCACGTTGTGTTAATTAGGTCAAGCACCCTTAGGCAGTTACACAGCAGTGCTCATGACTGTCTCAGGAAGTGAAACCACCAGAAAATAAACTAAGTCATACGCAGCTGCAATCCGTGTGCAAGGAAGCACGCACAAGATGCCCAACATCGTTAGCAGGATGCAGCGCACCCTTCATGCGACTCGCCGAATATCTCACGGCGCTTCGCGCTTGGTGATGTGAGAGCCTGGTCCGGTGAGAACCCGGCGTGCTCCGTCCCGGCTTTGTAGGGATGCGAGGTCAATGGTCTAACGACTACGGCATGCACGACTATGAGTACCCCCCCCCCCCCTCCCCCCCGATCGGGAGATCTGTGATGGGATATCCAACGCAGCGCGGCAAGACATCTTCTACATGCGTGCGTGCGCCAACAGGATGTATAAGCTGATGCCTGTGAGGATCGTCGTATTCCAACATGCGCACCACAATCGATTCCCATCGAAATTCCCGCTGAACTCCCACCTTGTGGTTATCACGAGGAAATAGCACACGAGGACGGCACCACGGCGACAACCTTCGACGGCAAGCGATGGTTCTAAGCGAATGTGCGGCTAGTCCTATTATCACGCTGGTTCTCGAGGGCAAAATGTATCTTTCGTTTGCCCGTCGGCCAACTGGTGTTGGACCCCAAATGTGCGGTGGAGAGTCATTTGTTGAGACGCACAGCTGCACCGGCGTTACGTCACGGAGAAAACTCGCCGCGAGGGTGGAGAAGATGAGAAAAGGAGAAAGAACGCATGTTTTTTCTGGTAACGTAGCTGGTACGAGCACGACCAGAAGTCGCACACACAAAACTTTGCCAAAACCTATGAAACTCCACGGGTGACTCGGGGTAGACGTGCGGCATTCTATTGCCCTTCTCGGGAGCTATGAACCTACTCCCCTCGTCCGATGTTTGCGCTACGACATATATCGTGCGTATTTTTTGCGAGTCAAGGGATGGCATCGGGCGAGAATGACCAACTAGAGGTTTGTGCACTTCAAATAAAAAGTGCATGCAGCAGACCCACAGAAGATGCATTGAGTAGTGAGATACGACCCATCGACGCACGCGCCTCTGAATGATGCTCGGCCGCGGCATGCTTACCAAACTTCCTGACTCGGCATCCACTTTTTCTTCCTCCCCATCACGTGATGCTGCTTGTGGCATACGATATGCTGGCGCATGATCACGTTTTCGTGCTACACAACTCGATGATTTCCTGAATAGTTTCGGTACCGGCATTGTAGCGGACATATCAGAACTTGAATAATGCCGGAACTGGCACTATTCAGGCCGAACTTATATACAACTTGGCTGGACCGCACCGGCATAATACCGAGACCGCTACTGTACATAGAACAGGGAGTGGGTACGCAGATCCTATTCCTTAACCCTAACCCTCACCCAACATCCCCAATCGTATGCCTTATTATCAAATGATTCGTTTATCGAAAAAACCCCTCGAGGAATTCTGAGGACGTGTACCATCGAATGCCCGTAACATACGGAGATACAGCACCCTACGTTCAAAGCTCGATTGCTCCACAACCAAGATTGTACCGTACCGTATACCGTACCGTGGTATTCCGTAAGAGGCGGCGGGTAAACGGCACTCCCCTCTAGACCCACGTTCAAAGCTCAATTGCTCCACAACCAATGGGGTGCAGAAAGAGCCTGCTGGCAACTTTACGGAAGCCGCCCTCAACGACAGGTATGTTTCGAATACCACCAGTTTTGGTGATGGCACAAGCTTGGGTGTGGAGTAATCGAGCTTTGAAATTTGGTCGACGGGGGGGGGGGGG